TAATCTCGTACTTCACCATAACCATTGTTTTGACACCCCTTACGATTCCTTGCATCTTGTACCAAAACAATACGCATGCGATGTTGTCCGCCTACATAATATCTACCATCAATTTGTGCAATCATAAAACTTATATCACTCTGAGTCATGTGAGGATCATCTCTATGCGAATGATTAGGAACAAGTCGCTCTGTGTTATCATCAAATGTACCATCATTATTGAAATCTATCCACATACCAATATAGCGACTATCACGACAGTATGTTTCGAACACATATGGATCTTGGCTATAAGTATTACCATAACCTGATTGTTGGACACAAGATAATGCAATGTGAACAGTATAAACTGTATTGTCGAATAATGTGACAGCTAGATTGCTTTGATCATTATAATTATTTGTTGAGCTACATTTTCTCGTTTCATCTCGAATTTGTGTATTTTGCTCACCAGATATACTCACCGAAAAAATAGCACTGTGGCCTACTGAACAGACCAAATTACCAGGAGAACAATGCGTCAATCTGTAGTCTAAAAGAGAGAATGTAGTATATTGTAATAAAAAATAAACAAACTTTATAAAAATATTGTAGGTGTGTGCACGAGAGATGGACACTTGTTCTTTAGATATCTCTGGAATACAATTCGTGCGTTTCACGAATTTTACTTTTTCTTTTAAAGTAAGGCGTATATAGTATTTTGCCTTTTTCATTAGGTAGAAATGTTTCAAAAGCAATAAAATTGTTGAAAGTTGATAATTTTTTTTTTCATTCAATGATCTTTTCCTCTTACATAGTTCAACTCTCACAAGCCTGTGTTATTGGACTTATCAAAATGATATTGACCAGTTGAAAATATGAATCATTATAATAGGTAACTCATTCACTCTTACTCTTAAAGAGAACTACATTTCTGATGTGATCCAAAACTTCTATTGAATAATTAGAAAAGCATATTACCTGTATCATACGTGTCCTTTAATACTTCCTTTCGAATAATATTAACTGTGTAATCTCGAACTTCACCATAACCAGTGTTTTGACATGGCTTACGATTTCTTGCATCTTGTACCAAAACAATGCGTACTCGATGTTGTCCGCCTACATAATATCTATCATCAATTTGTGGAATGGTAAAACGTATTGTACTCTGAGTCATGCGAGGATCATCTCTATACCAATTATTAGGAATAATTTGTTCTGTATTATCATCAAATGTACCATCATTATTGAAATCTATCCACATACCAAGATAGCGAGTATCATGACAGTATGTTTCGAACACATATGGATCTTGACTATACCTATTAACATAGCCTGATTGTTGAACACAAGACAATTTAATGCGAAGAGTATAAACTGTATTGTCGAATAATGTGACAGCTAGATTGCTTCGATCATTATAATTATTTGTTGAGCTACATTTTCTTCTTCTGTCCCGAATTTGTGTATTTTGCTCACCAGACAATCTCATCAAAGATATAGCACTTTGGCCTACTGAACAGACCAAATTGCCAGGAGAACAATGCGTCAGTGTATAGCCTAAAAGAGATAATTCAGTATATTGTAATAAAAAA